ATGCGAATTTTTGTTTCAAGTACTAGACAAACATGTATCTAAAACTAATTAAATGGTTTTACAGAAAAGTATTCTTGGATAAAAAAAAAATTTTGAATAAGGTGCTTGTGGTGACCCCTTAAAAACTGGTGAACAAATTAATTCAGATTCTCCTTTTGCGGATGTCTTAAGGCGACAAAAGCCCGTCAATATGGATATAGAATCTGTATATGGGCAGTCTTTGGCCGTCGGGTTTGGGGAAAGACAAGCTATAGCTGAAGCAGGCAACCCGTCACTCACCCCCCCTCCCATTCACCATTCACCCATTCACCCATTCACTTATTCGCTCATTCACTCATTCACTCAGTCACTCATTCACCCATTCCCGGCCCATCATTTGCCAGAGCCTCATTTGCAGGAGCCTCGAAGCAGTAACAATTGATATGCGTGTACGTGAGCTGAATGCCGAGCTTTCCCGTCGGAGGGGCAATTGATTTGATGTAAGCGGAAGGTGGCAGTCGCTGGAGGCGCGGGGGGGAGGGGAAGCGAGGTGGGGAGGAGCGGGAAAGATTAATGCAAACTTGTATGCCAAGTCAGTGGAAACTTTCGAAGTTGGCAAGCTTGAGATGCGAGCCTTAAAGTGTATCAGACGGAATGGAAAACTTCTGCCGATGGCGATGGTTGGTAGAGGGTGGTGGTTGCAGGGTGTGGCGCAGTTTCCCGCAGGAAACGCCAAATGTGTCGCCCATGTCTATTCTTATCAATTAGCCATTTGTCATTTCCGAGTATGCAAACAAACGGCCGACAGCCAGAGCATTGTCCACTTCAATCCATAACTCAGCGCGGTCGAAGTCGTTGGGCATGCGCTGTCTGTCAAGCAGCTTGTTCGCCTGACGGCAGTCAAACAAATCAGTGGGTCTGCGAACAGAGCCAAGAATTTACACAAAAATGCAATCCGCTCGACGGATAAATTTACAAATTTCTCGAGGAGAACAAGGGCTGAGGAGCAGAAGGCAGACGGTCGGGAACAACTGGCACGTTATCATGGGTAAATATTTACATTGCGCGTACGAGGACTCATGGAATTTATCAGAACGATTCTGAGATACTGCCACAATCTTCGCTGCTGCATTTGCCTGTCCTTTGAGATAGCTGTCAGTCCGGGGTTGTTTGCGCTCGGAAAGGACGAGAGGAGATTATACCTGGGTTGAATAAAATAAACAGAAGATTAGACAATACAGATATCCAAAACAAATTATTTTTAGATTGCAGAAGTTGCAGTTCAAAGACTAGTTAAGAAAGCGTGAAAGAAATTCAATTTTTACTTGAAGTATGAAAAATAAAGATTTTAAAATGGATTGGGCAAGTATTCACTGTTTTTAATGGTGTTTAGAGAGTCTGACTAGCCGTACATCACGATTTTACCATTCTCTGTCTATTAAATATTTTAAATTTATCATAAAAATGGATATCGATAAAATGAGAACTAGTTCAAAGTATTAATTTAGTTTTTTTGCGGGTCAATCAGGATATAAAAATAAATTGTTATAAAAATATAATCGTAAAAAGTCAAAAATGTTGTATGGTACCATTTCTTTTAGCAATGTCATTTTCATAATCAAAGACTTTAACAACAACAAAACACCAGACTTTAACCTCAAAAGTAAATTGTCGATTTGTTTTGCAAGCTAGTGTAATCATTATTTTTCAGTTGTATATATTGTTATCAAAATAAATACATTTTTTCACGTTTTATTAAATAACAAGAAAATAATTATTTTATCTAACGAAAAAGGCAGGGATTTTTTTTTTTAATTTTCTCTAATAATCTATAAATTGATAATGTACTTTTTATGTAATTTATTTAATCAAACACGGTTACGGCTACCTCAGCCCCTCGTCTTGCACAGTGACGCTGTAGAGCAGAAACCGTGGCAAGAATCCATTTTTGCACATGACAACATTATAAAAAAATCAATCACGATTACAAATAAATAATATATGACTATATTGACAACAGATTTTCAGTTTTATGTTTCTATTACAGGAGTATTTATTAAGTTTATAATATAATATAATATTAACTTAATGTTTGCTTTGTGCTTTTCCAGGAAAATGGCTATTGTCAAACTTTGATAAGAACTACAAATAATTATAATTTTTTATGTTTGCCATATTTTTTAAAGTTGTTTTTTTATAATATTTCTTAACTTAATGAGAGCCTCTAAATAGAAATTAGCATGAACATATGGTAGGAACATAACCATGTTTACTAACGGTTGCTTTTGAGTAATAAGATGTTTTTGAGTAATAATTAAAAAAAAAAAATTATAGAATTTGCTTAAATATTATTTTTTGAATGATATAAAATGTATTTTATCCCAAATTTATCTTAACTTTACTTTTATATAATTTATAAGTATCATCCCTGTGGTAAAAAATACAAAGCAATAAAAGCAGTTTACTGTTGCCTCAATCTGTAAGCATGTTAACAAAAATAAATTATTTTTGGGTAATAATTATAAAAAATAAAAGGAATTAATTATTCAATCTCTAAAACATCACAATATATGTAACCGAGTCATCGTCTTACGTAAGCTTATAAATGGGGTGAACTCTATCCCTACTCTATATTAAGTAGTATTTTTCGACCACTTCACTTACCAATTTGTAGATCCATTATAATAATATAAATTTAAGATACACGGTAATAATAGGTACCAGTTAAAGATTGTAAGCATTTACCTTTAAAATTTTTTACTCTTAGGTAAATTACATATTTATACCCGTTACTCGTAGAGTAAAAGGGTATATTGTATTTCTGCAAAAGTATGTAACAGCTAGAAGGAAGCGTTTCCGACCCTATAAAGTATATATATTCTTGATCAGGGTCACTAGCCGAGTCGATATAGCCATGTCCGTCTGTCCGTCTGTCTGTCCGTCTGTCTGTCTGTCTGTCTATCCGTATGAACGCTGAGATCTCGGAAACTATAAAAGCGAGAAGATTGGCATTTTGCATGTAGATTTTAGGAGTTCCTACGCAGCGCAAGTTTGTTTCAAAAAGGTGCCACGCCCCCTTTAACGCCCACAATCGCTTATATACGATACATTTAAATATTTCGGAAAAGTAAAAATGCAGTTTTATTGTGTTTATCAATACCTATCGAAATGTAGAAGAAATTTTTCAAATCGGACCATTCGTTAAAAAGTTATGCGTGATCAAAGTTTCTATCTCCATCTCCCTCGCACTCCCATTACCTGAGTAAAGGGTATCTGATAGTCGGGGCACCCGACTATAGCGTTCTCTCTTGTTTTTAGTTCATAAGTAAGTAGAATTAATAAATTAGTAAACAGAATATTTTCTCGGGAAAATTTGTTTTACTATGTCAAATTGGGAAAATATTTTCCATGTATGAAAACCATCAAATGAGACCAATTATGTTTACTTTACAATTTGATTACAGATTGAAGATTACAATATTTACCGATTCCAACTGCCATGGGTCTTGTTATAACCATTTCTGAACGATTTCTGGCAAGATTTGAAATCAGTTGATTGGGCGTGATCCACTTGAGCAATTCGTCGTGGGCCCTCAAAATTGTGCCACCGAACTGAGCAGTCGAAAGTGGCAAAGAACAAAGGGCTAATTCCACCGGTGCTACCAATCAATCAAATGTGAGCCAGCGATACAATCTACAAATGCCCCGCGTTGGTTCGCTTTCGTGCAACAATTATTACAGTCCGTAAATCATGTATGATTATTCAAGATCGGCGTGCTCTGCCATTTCAATAAAATTTAATTTTTTCTTTGTTCTATCCTTTCGCCATCATATCAAATACAATTTATCTCTACATTTATATCGTTTCAACACTTCGGTATACAAAATAAATCGACTATTTTTTCCAGAGGTGGAATCTTAATTTTTCTGTTCACTTCATTCTCTGATAGGAAAAATAACACACAACATTTTTGTTAAAAAGTAATTTAGAAATAGAGCCTTACTCGCTTTACATATTGATAATTTAAGTAATTATCTATGAACTAAATATTAGGAATTAATTGTTGTAATTGTTACTGTTATAATTTAATTTAATTTATTCCCTTCTAATTTCAGGGGGATGGGGTAGATAATTCCATAAACGGATCACAGTTATTCAAAAATTAAATTAAGCACATAGAAATGTATCTAGTTGTTGGTTCTTTGAGACATGTCTAGCTTAAGATAAATAATTATAAATATTTGAAAATAGATGAATCTTCCAAAGCCAATTTAATGTCGAATAATGCCACATTGTGAAAAGTCTGCAAAATCTTGATTAATGCCGTGATTCGCGGGAGTCCACCATTTTTGATGTGGACTGTAAGATTAATTCGCCGGGAAAACCGGGCGAAAGAAAAACTTGACTCGGGGAAAGTAAAAACAAATCAACAGTTTGAATTCGCTCTTGTTTTGTTTCACTCAGCTGCCAGTTGTGCCGCCATTGGAACGGGTGGTAAAGAAAACTCTTATACTAGACGGAAGAGCGGTTACAGCGCACAGAGAGAACTCTTTTCCAGTTGGAGTTTCGGTGGACCTGAGAGAAGGGCGCACAGGTGAAGTGCCTGTGTCTGGGCAGGTAAATGCAGCTCTCGGAGAGTCTGATTGGTACAGAGCACATATGTGGGAAAATTCTTTACCTTTGCAGTAATATTTCGAGAGAACTTTCCCAGGCAACATGTTAGAAGGTGTACCCTAGGTAAACACACACAAAAAAAGGGTTGAACTCAATAATGATTTTCGTAATGTTCAATAATCGTTTCAAATATGTGCAGGTCCTTTGCCACCCGCACAGAATCCACAGAAAAGAGGCATCGGGAAGAGCATGAGTTTCAATTTCAGTTTCAGTTTCAACTCAACGAAGCACGCTCTCTCTTGGGCCCGCTCTTAGCATCCACAACCGCTCGGTCTTACATGCAACCCAGTGGTGGTGCAAGGTACGTTACACCGCTCGGCGGATTCGATTCAATCGCTCGTCGACCTTCGTTCTGCGCGTTACAAGAGTCGAAAGGAGTCGCACTCCCGTCAACTGTCCGCTGTCCGTCGTCCGCGCCGTTGGGCCTTCAGTCTCATCCCAGCGCTCGTGGCGAGAACAACGCGGTCGCGAATCGACTGTCCCCGCTTCCCGTTCTCCTCGGTGGATTGGATTTGTTCAACCAATCGGAGTGCGCGAGTGCAGATATTCAGCTTGGATAAGTAAAGTGCAACTTGGCCACGCCACTGCAAGATGCGGCAATTGTGCACCTGCGGCTGCCAGCAGCGCGCGGCGAAGTGTGTGAAATGTGATACCTGAAAAATGGCCAGCAGTGCTCAAACATATCGAAACACTAGCAGATAGAATATCTTTCAGTGCCCAGTGAACAACGCGCCAAGATCGCCATTCAATTATTTGGCAGTGCTTGAAAGTTGAGAACTTTCAACTCTTTTGTGCAACGCCATTTGACAACGGAATACAATCAATATACACCTTAAGTCAACTAATATCTAATTAAAAAACCTAGAATATATAGGTGAGTTGAGTGAAGAAATGAAAACAAACTGGTCGGTTATTAATCCCAAGATTTGGCAAGGGCGTAGTATTAACCCATTTTTTGTGAAGCGAAACTTGACTATATTTTAATTGGTAGGCCAATTCTGTATATAAACAACGGTATTGAAAAAGTCACAATGATGGCAAAAAATCAATTGGGTCAGCAGATGCTAGTTTCATTGTCGATTGGCAATTTACGCAGAAATATTTATTATTCAAAGCGAAATACTTGGTAATTAAACTGAAAAATCAAAGAAGCTTCCCCCAACTGCGCAGGCCTAAAAACCAAAAAGAAGGGACAATAATGTTGCATATGCTTATTTTTAAAAAAAATCATCTTGGAGGGTCATAATTCTAAACTCGTTTTCCCCATTTAAATACGGCGGCGGTCCCTCCCGTATCATTAATTAAACACTAATTAAGAGTCAAACTGTCAACATCTGGGGCTAATCAAACTAACCTGCTGGATTCTATAAAAAGGGAAGGTCGTAAAGTTCTGGGAGAGACTGAATCGGAGGAAGAAAGATTTTCCCCATACACTTTGTGAGCGGCAGGTTTCGCCGACGGCACTTACACAGATTGTTATCTCGGCGATGCAGTTACTTGAATTATCCACCTCACAATTACAATCCCTAGTCTTGGGCAACTTCACAGCTCGCTAGACACGCAATGAGGCTGGGTCTCTGGCCCCCCGAATTCCATAATTTTTCCTCTGTTCCCTGAGGTAATTAAGTGGAAATATGTTTGGCAATTAAAATTCCCCAGATCTCGCTTTCGCCCTCATGCTCTGTGGATAGCTCCAATGATTTCCTTGCCCACTTAAGATGGTTTAGAAATTTAAGATTGAGTCTTCGCGTGCTTGGTTATCGCAGCCGAGAGATGCAGCCGCAATCGCGCATGCATAATTAATTTCGTGTAAAAATCATAATTACACTAATTAAAACTTGTGTAAACAAGTTGGCAGAAGACGGGCCAGTCCCTCGATCTGAATGAAGCGCCGTTTGGGGCGCAATCACTTTTATGGTATCGCTAAAAAAAATATTTCGTGGTCGATTGTGCGGGGAAGTCGTTATACAGTTATAGTTCATACAGAAAAAGTTTCGGGATTAGAGGCAGAGATGGTGTTTAACTCCTCTTTCAATAATGAGATTTAACGCAGTTATACCTACTTTCTTGGGTTTTTAAGGTTGCGCTTAAAAAAAATATTCAAAATCGAGCGGTATCAGTGAACATTAAAAAATGTTTTAAAAGTACAAGCAAAAATACATTTAATGCATATTAATCTATAATCTATTTAATATATTTATTGTCAAATTAATTTTGTTATCTTTCTTGTTAACACCAATGATATTTTGAAATACAATTTTTAGAATTTCATAAAGTGCCAAAATTTTAATAACTAAAATAAACGAAGTGCTTTGAGTAAAATATTACAAAAATTTTAATCTAATGGCGGATAGGTAATGATTCGATTAGCTTTTATTTCATTTATTGGTTTATATAGAAATATTTCGTAGAATAGCTGAAGCACTAGCTCTTGGAGCTATTGTATTCGAGGTGAGAGAAGTTTTCCATACATAGAATGCTCTGATCAAGTGAAATCTAATAATAAACATTATTATTATAAGAAATATTTTTTCAATAAAAAAAATAGTCCTTTATTTTGCTTAACTATTATATATTATATACAATACAAAAATAATTTGTTTATTACTAGGTCCACTACCGGTTGAGAACTTAGATTCAATTCTAAAATGATTTATATAAAAGTGACCACTATTTGCTTACCTTAATAAAAAGGTGCTCCGTGGCTGAGCTCCTGACATAATTCTTTGACTTTGAGTGATACTTTTGAACGAAGTATTTATTATTTCTGATTATTTTTCTTTACCTTACAAATAATGTTTAGCCTTCTTATTTCTTCAGAGTGATAAAATAATCGGTAATTCTGGGAAGAAATAAATACAAATTATGAAATCTTGATTATTGTTCGGATTCGGAATTGCTTCTGCGGCTATTTTAATAAAATAAAAATTAAATAAATATGTATTTATAGAAAAAAAGTAAAAAATCTTATTTTTGGAAACATTTGGATAAAAATTTTTAAAAAATGTATCAACTCTTTTTAAATGATAACTAAAATTACCATTGTTTTGGACCTTAGATATTATTCTTATTTTGCCTTGAAAATGGAAACTAATCGTTGAACGTAATGTTAATTTACAATTTATTTTTTATGTCTTGGGTTTAGAATACAAAATGTATTATGTGCAATGCACAAAATATTCTTTAATATTAATTAACAAAATTTATAATTTTATAAATATTAAAAGAATTATTAAACATGATACGATACATTTTTTCACGGAGATGTTCGCATTTGGGATACCTAAATTAAAATTTTTAAGGCAACGAATATTCTTCTGATTTGAATAAATAAAATTCCGCCGTCGCGAGACAATTTATATTAGTGTCTCCTCTTCGTATTCAACTCCCATTTAGCTTCCCCCAGGTCATTTCTCAAAGGCTGACGAAAACAACAATCAACAAAATTTATACTCAAGAAGTGTCATTCTCGTGTGCATTTGGAGTATTTTTGCTGCCCACATGGCTGCCACCGTATTGGCCCCAGGCAGGCCTCCTACTCCTCCGCGACTTCTAATTAATTAGCATCTAACTAAGAATAATGTTTCCTGCGGCCCTCGACGGAGGCAGCGGTCGCCTGTCATAACTTGGCCCCAAGTTTATTTGTTTGGTTCGCCAGCGGCGAACAAAAGACAGACCAGATGCAAGAACAGATACAGAGAAAACTAGGGGCATAAAGTACAAAGACGGCGCAAAGGTGCCACACTTTCTTCAATTTCTGGCAGACCTCTCTTATGAACAGGTATAGCACGATTCGTTGGTGCCTCTTGTTTGTTAGTTTCGTTTGGTTTTATGTTGCCTGCGGTTTTCTTAATACAGTTCTTAATTTGTGTTAGCTTGTGAAATAACTTCGGCTGCTACCGTCTAGTACTTGTGAAAAAATGCTAAAGTGTCTCGGTTCCTCAAGGCAGTCATGTTGGTGAGAATTTTTCATTAAATGTCTTGGCGCCACCTTTATTGTTGTTAAAAGTTTTATTTGTTGGCAACATTCGTTGTTTCGTCTAGAGAGTTATAAGACATCTAGGGGGTTTCTTGCGGTGCTTAATTAGTTCAGAAAAAGTTGAGTGTGTTTAAGTATCCCAAATATTTCAAGCTGTCAAGAGCTCGGATAGTGGACAGCACTGTGAGTCGTTGGGGGAAAAGCGATGGAAACAATTTAAAATAAATTTATAAATGTGCTGCTATTTGGTAAGTTCTATCAGAACTTTCGTAGATTGTGGCTCAGATCAGAGCATTTCCGTATCTTTTCATCAGTATTCTCTGATCCAGATAATGTTCTCACACTTACCTTTTCCCTTAGACGAACCCCTTTTCTCAAGTCGGACCACAGAACCATTAAGATTTCCTGCTTGGCTTCCTTTTTGTTGGTGACCCTTATCTTAGCCTCTTATGTTTGTCTATATTGTATGTAAATAGGCCCGGGAGTGCCCCTAGCTGTGACATTTACGGCGAGGATTTCGTCGAGCTAATTAACTTTCGGTTACAGTTCACTGCGCAAAATTGCGATCGCTGCGGAGCATATTTAATTTATGTTTGAAAGACGAAATTGCCCCTCTTCTGCGCGGCGGAAATGAATTGCCGCTCATCAACTTGACGACGACTTCCCGCATTCTCCTGGGCCCTTGTCTGATCACAGAATGATCGCACTATATGCATTATGGTTTGTCGGAGGCATTGAGGCAAGTCGCTGGCATTTGCTCATCCCAATATTATACATCGTTGATTTTGGATTGAAGCCGTCTAAAATTGTACGCATCACAAAACAATGTGGTGTCATTAGCCCTGTTCTGACTGCATTGGACTCAGGGTCGAGCCCAGCCCTAGTTCCGTTCTCAAACGAAACTCAGCCCAACCCACAGTTCCACCAAAATGCGGGAGGTTTCAACACTGGCAAAGAGACGATACAAATGATTTGGCTTGGCAATTAGGCTTTAAGTTGCCAAATACAGAAATTAAGGGGAAATATCCATTATCACATATGCACTGAAACGAGGCTAATTTGTAAATGTCTACTCCTAAAAACGCTGACAAAGCTTTGTCATACATGCAATGTTGTCTTCGCAGTCAACACGGTCTTGTATTAAATGTGAGGCGAGTTCCCTTTTGGTCCTCCCAAGTGAACTCTGAAAGTGCAGGCCAGATTAACCCTGCCATGGAAATGGTCTGGTCTGCTTCCCAGGAGATTTTCATCGGGAGCCACACGTCAGGTGTCAAAAATGTTCAAAGTAAGTTTTGTCATTAGGGGGTTCAGACCAACGCAAAGGGTTGCAATTTATATGGCCAACATGTTTGCTTAATTAGGGAAGGTTTTATTTATGGGCCAAGTACCGCTTTTTTTTTGACGGATATAAAAGGGATATAAGGAAAGGTTTCACAATATGTAACAGAGTAAAAAAAAACTACCTTGGGAAAAATAAAGTCTCATTGATGTATCTGTGCTCGAATATAATAAAAAAAGCATTTTTCATTAAAATATGATGTTTTTGTTAAAGTTAAGAGTCGCTCTCCCTTAAACATTTAAATTGCTGATATCAAATATTGTATGTTTTGTATATTTCCGTCCCACTACAGAAACCTTGAATAAAAGGCGCTATTTTAAAGAAATAGCTCTCTATGGATAAAATCATTTTTTAGGCAAACAAATTTTTAATATTAACATTTATTAATATACATTTTATACCCTTGTATTATAGGGTCAGCCAAAGGTTTGCAATGTAGTGTAAGGAGTATGGATATTCTTGATTAGCATCTCCAGGGGAGTTGATCTCGGCATGTCCATCTGTTCTTATCATATAGCTTCCATAGCAACAATAAACATATACGGATATACTCAGA